CCCCCCCCCCCCCCCTTTCCCCCCCAAAAAAAAAACATATTTTAGGATGCTGTGTGGATAGTGGTTAGGAAGCAAAGAAGCAATGTTGCTTGAGAATCCTCAGGCTGTCGGTGTAAACTTCTTGAAGCAATACATGTTTCTTGTTGTCATGTAGCTAGGCTTTTCAAATTCCATCTCGCTACGATCATCAGCCTGGGCATTACTCCCAAAATCATGGTCTTAGATCACCCCTGCTTCAATCCGTATTCGTCATTCTTAATCTGCGGACAATTCATTTTGAGACAATCCCTATGGAGGCTATGCGCGGGAATTTGTGAGCGGACCCGGCCGTGGTTGTGTCGTGACGTTCTTTCGCGATCCAGTCGATCCTTGCCCGCCTTGGCCACCTTCACGGATAAGGCATATGCAGGGGTTTGGGGGTTCAATTTTTGGATTAGGAGGGGCTGTAGAAGGGCTGTATGGAGAAATCTTGCATGAGGATATGTGGGCATCAAGTAGGTTAGGGTCAAGGGCTTTTGGGTTTGGAAGTCTGGAAGTAAGGTTGTATGTGCTTGGGAAATTACAGCAAAGAATTTTGGGGCGCATTCACACCTGCTGCCTGATGAACAAACATTGTAGACCATGACGCACTTTTCCCTATGCCTCACGGAGGGCCCACTCTATCTACAATGTACATCTCCGCCACATAAGTAGTAGTTTCGATGGGGTACTTAGTCCCCAACTGAGAGCAAGACTAGATCTTGTTTTCTCGGTATGATTATGATGAATCTTTGTCGAAGAATAGCATCATGACTAGCTCAAACAACAGAACACCACTCTGCCAGGCTGTGAGAGCCCTGAGGGGCTTCTTTCACGCTAGAGTTTGATCACCGTAGTCGCCTCATAGGGAGTCTGCAGCCTAACCCACTGGTGGCGTTTAAAGAATTTCCCGACCCTAGAGTACTCAATGTAGTCATGTTGGCGCCTAAGGAGAGGGCCATGCCGAAGGCTCAGCCGCTGCCAGCCCCGAAGATGACAACATAGGAAAACGTAAATCTGTGAGTCCAAGAGTTGGCTCCCTGTGACTTCTTTGCCGCTCTTGTTCGTAGCCGTAAGACTTCTCCCGGATCTTGGGTACATGTACAGCCTGAAATTTGGGGAGTGTTGGTGGGCACAGCTTTCTGAGGTCTGAGTACTTCATGTTGCGCAGGGTGCTCAGCTGGTGCGCAGTACAGTAGCTCAGTAGCTGGCTCGACAGATCGCACAGAGTTTGCTACACTGCGCAAAGGAGAGAAGCATCGACAGTTCCTCACGTTCGACCAATGGGATGTGCACGCCGCCGATCTTTCAGACCTTGATGCAATTCTTGGCATAAAGGATGTCAGTGCATCCTTCCACCAATACCTGCAGCATCCTGGAAATCCATCACGAAATAGACAGATGCAACTTGGATGCAGATGTGCCGACCTTCAATAATAAGGGGATTTTGGTAACCCCAACCCCCAAAATTAGGAACCTATAACCACATATGATAGTCACAGGGTCTTAATTAATTTTGGGGGTTGGTGCTACCAAAATCCCCCTATCATTCCAATCCACTACAGGACCCTAAAGTCAGAAGTGCCCATATACCCCACGGGTCTCTGTGCTTGATATGGCAAACCCTGAAATTGTTTGCAAGGCTCTATCTGCTGGGATTCCACCGCGTTCAATGCAACTCAACCAGATGTGGGGGCGATGCCTGCATCTGCGAGAAGGACTTAGGTTGTAACCCCTTCCTGCCTTAAATGAACCCAGGAACATTACAAGGGTCACTTATAAGCTATTCTCCATGGAAAAAGGCTTGTGACGGTTTCCATTTGTTTGGGGTGTATATGGTAGTTTGCAATTTCTTTTCCATTATCCCCCATCTTCTTTTCCACTATCCCTATAAAACCCCAACCCTAAACACTAAACCCACTGTTTCCATTTTCTTTTCCATGATCCTTTTCAAACCCTATATTATCCCAATAGGACTAGTATTGGATAGGCGGACTTCAGTCTTTGTCGGTTGCTTGTCCGCAGCAACCGTAGCAGTACCGGGTAATAGGGCTGTAATAGGGTTACAATGGGGTCATATTGGGTTATACAGGGTTTATATGGGGGTCTCCCAAAAATAGGCGTACCCTTTTAGGGGTTTCCATACTAAGGACTTAAATATATTGGGGTAGACCATTGAAATTCCCCTGATTTTGAGAAACTACCATTTCTCTTGGCAGGACGATTCTGGATATCCCTCCAAGGCGTACAACTGGGACCGGGATGGAATTGCGCTGTTGGAGAAGGCCAGAAGTATTTCTACCGCTTTATGGGAACCTTGCTACTCAGAGTACATTCTTTTACAGTGGTAGCGTCGTTGGATGACACAAGCCTGCTTTTCTTGCAAGCCCAAAGCTCCTGATCTCGGGTTTAGGGTTTAGGGTTTAGGGATCTCCTGTGATAGAAGCTGAACTCAGGCCAAGGAGCACTTATTGGAGCGGGGGACCTACGCCCAGTGGCAGCTGCAATCATGCCGGGGTGTGCCAAAATTCATACCGTGACTGGCGATCAGAAGTAGCAACAAACTCCCATACGAACTAACTATGGTACTGTAAATAGTATCGATACAAGTAGCAATGATATTAATAACAGTAGTAATAATAAAACGATGATAACCGTAGGAACAGTTGCAATACTCAGAATAGCAGTAACCAGGATACCTCACAAGGTCTTACCTTTCGTGTGGAGCCGCATGCCTCAGGTTGGATGCCTTCGGCATAACGGCCTCCTGACTGTAATGAAGGTGCTCATGTCTGTTTAAGGTTTAAGGTTTAGGATTCAGGGTTTAGCGTTTAGGATTCATGATTTAGGGTCTAGGGTTTAGGATTCCGGGTTTAGGGTTTGGTTGTGCCGCCATGGCTTTCTGGCAAAAACAACAGCATGCCTCCCTCAGAATGCTTGGGTGCATCTGATCCCCCCACCAGCAACAAAGCAATAGGGCATCTTAGAAGGACGGGCCCACCTACAAGATGATATTTGGGGGCGCTTGGCAGGGGCTACAGCTATTATTTGGGCTCCTCAAGAACATGTCTATGGGAAGTCCTGCCTGAGGACTGCTTCGACGAATCTATAAAGGCGATCGCCCCAGCCCTGGGGTGGAACGTGGCTGCAGTCTGGTTAGCACTTGTTTTTCAGTACCTACGCCTAGCTTATAGCCCTAAAGAACCTTCATGAACGTTATAGAGCATAGTCTTGTAGAATCCTTCCAAACTGTTAAACCAGAATTAAAATCAGAACATGGATTGCTTTTCCGCCTATAGCAGCCCTCAAACTTTTCGGAAGCCCTCATAGACCTCTGTTTAATCCCTCCTCGTGTTGGAAACTCCTGTCCTGCAATTGTCCTTAAACCCTAAACCCGAAACCCTAAATAGTAATTTAATTAGCTTCTATGTTCTTTTCCACTGTCCCTATATTATACCCCTAAATAGCTAGGTTGGAGCAGCCCTTGAGCTTGCCAAGAGCAACCATGCCCGATGCTCAGCTGGGGGGGACTACGTGCTTTGTCAGACCCAGAGCTTAGAGATCATGGAAACTACTATTTAGGGTTGAGGGTTGAGGGTCTAGGGTCAGGGTTTAGGGCGTTCCTTAGAGGGTATACTGCGCTTATCAAGGGGATATAATGCAGTAACTAACTCCGAGGTCCCTCAAAGTAGAAGGCATCCAGTCTTAGACGTCTTAAAGTTTGGGTACCGTCCCGGATAGAAGGGATGCCAGAGTGACTCTTTGGGGTCCGCACTAACTGCAGAGGGGATCCTTGTGAGAGGTTGGTGGGGTTGGCTCTAGCAGCGGATGGAAATGTGCTGACCTAAACTGCCCCCTTTCCGATGCAGCGGATGTGACACATGAGTAGTCTTTTATTTGGGGATATTACGGCACCCAATATAGAGTAAGATTATGTCCTCCTTTTGGGGTGTAGTATTATTTTTTAGGAATATAATCTTACTGGGTTTAACCACCAAAAAAACGCTACTCACATGAGCTATAGTCTAAACTCCTTGAAAGCGGGTAAACAGGGGATTATATAGGGGAGTAAGGGGATATTAGGAGTTTACGTAGACTTAACGCATATAATCCCCTACATAATCCCAGTTTCCATTTGATTCTCCATTATAGGGGTTATTGCCCATGTTGTCTGCTCGGCCTGATATGGCCGGGAGTAGTAGATAGCGACCAGGCTCTCCACGTCTGGCGGCCGGTGATGGAGAAGGTGCCTGCATCAATTGCAGGAATATCTTATTGGGCTATTCTCAAGATTACGGATCCGTTCTGGGCATGAATTACATTACGGCACCTAACATTTAGGGGCACCAAAAACAGGACCCTAATTTTGGGAGCCCCTCTATGTCAATGATAAGAAATGGAAATCATGGTAGTAGCAGCAAGAGTCTGCCCAGCTTCAATGACGAGATGGCTGTCTTACTTTTGCATTCCATCTTGCCAAAGCCTACTTAGACCTTCCAATAGCCATAGTGAAGTGTCCCTCGAACGGAGCTATATGAACCATAGTCTAAACTCCTAGTATCCCCCTTAGTAACCCCTACAATTCTCCCCTATAGACAGCTTTAAGGAGTGTAGTGTGTAGTGTATGGCTCATATGAGAATGTATAGTCTAGGCAACTCCTCCTTGGCAGGCGCGCCAAATTCGACCCCGCAGCGGCTCTTCAGTGGAAGGTGTGGTATGGCACAGTGGTACTAATAGGGCCTATAGGGGTGAGGTTTGGGGTTAGGGACATCGCGTCAAAAATGGATTTACAGTAGTGTTTAGGGTTCAGACACAAGAGAGAATCAAATGGAACATCTACTGGCAATGAAATGGACACCTGTGGTTTACCATGTTATAGGGATGGTCATACATACATACATACATACATACATGCATGCATGCATACATACATACATACATACATACATACATGTATATGGTTAATGATAATAATCCTGCAAGGCCCTAAATTCCTCATACCTTGGCAAGTGTATCCTACTAGGGTCATACAGTATTGGTTAGTATACACCGTGGCTAGTAGCGCAATGGTTCCTGCTAATGGTAAGCTGCTAATCTCATCCTCCCACAACCTGGTATTTGCGTGGTCGAGGACACCGTCGCTTGAGCTTCAATGGACCTAGCAGCAATTTCTGGCGCGAGTTCCTTCACGAGGATGCATCCCGGCAAGTAAGTCAAAGAGGTCAGCGGATACTGGGGGTTTGCAAAATTTTTCAGGATGAAGGCCTTTTGCAGCATTCCAGGGGGCCTGGTATGGAAAAAGGATGGAGGGCCCTAAACCCTAAATCCTCAGGGGTTCAGACGTTAGGTCATCACTGCAATGGTTGCGCAGACGAAACCTGTCTGACTGTCTCAGGTTCGCAAAGAGATCCTTGCATTTTGGCTGCAAGGTCCTTACTGGTGCCGAAGGGGGAGTGGGGGAGTGAATACAGGGACTATTCAAGGACTATGTCGAATGTATAATTACATAACCCTATAATCGTCCCTGTAATATATATGTGTATATATGTATGTATATTATAATACAGGGATTCGTATAGGGATCCACTCCCCCACTCTCTTAAGCACCAGTTCGGCAAGCTTGGGAGGTGACCGGCATTGAGCTGCCACGCCATGGCATGGATTTTCATAACCTCTACCCAGACCCCTTAAAGGATCCAAAAAAATGATACCCTTTAAAGGGGTCTATAGGGGTTATATAGGGGTATATAGGGTTTAGGGATTAGGGTTTAGGATCCAAAAAATGGAACCCCCAAATAATTCCCTAGTTACCCCAATGTAGTAATGGGTTCATACTAGGTGGGGTTCCATTTTTTGGATCCTTTAGCCGGTCTGGGTGTGGGACAGGACTAAGCCCTGCTAAGGAGGTCAATCGCTTGGATGCCGAGCTTCTGAGCTTCGCGCGTTCTCAGTTCAAGAAGCAGTATGGTGGGGGACTTACTTGGGTTGAGCATTATGGTGAAAGACATAGGCATCTCTTTCTGGTTTTGGGCCCGACCTCTCCAAAAGAGGTGCTGGTGAAGTGTTGGGAAGTTAGACCAGGATACACACAACAGGTAATGGCTTCAAGAATGCAACTGCATCGCCTCGGTTGTGGGACCGTAGACCACAGAGAGACAAGATCTTAGAAAGACTGATATTAGGCTTTTATGGCCAGCATTCAGGGATTTTCCCCCCTCTCCCAAACTGTCAGGAATTCCGTAGGCAGCAGGCCAGACCCTAGCCGGGCTCACAGGGTGGGGGATCATGAGGAGTGCAAAGAGGCTTGACGTCGCGCCCAATTTACTTGTAGAATTGTAGGAGCTTTTATAGGCCCAAGGTTACTGGGTAGTCTTAAGGATCTTGGGGATGTTGGATAAGAACCAGTGTTTCAGGAGTACATGACAAGAACTATATGGGCAGTTTTTGAAACTCTCACGTTGTTGCCAAGGTGTAGATTGCAAGGATGAGGCGTGATGGCTGCCATCAAGGAGTCTTTTGGCGCCGACCAATCCTTCGTTGCCCACATCATGACATGATGAAGGCGGAAACACCTCAACTCATCGAGTTGCACAAGGAGGGCCTGATAGCACTCATGCTGCCCTGACAGTTTGGATTGGTACAGAGCATGCAAGATATGAAGGATGGCCCAGGTCAGCGCAATGTTCCTCCAGCAAGTACAGGATGCAGTGCTTGGAGGGTAGCGAGGCCACAGACATCAGCAGACGCTGGAGAGCCTTCTGCAGCCAGTTTGCCGATCAGGGGAACATGCAGAAGAGGAGGAGGTCTACGCCAAGATGGTTTGGACGTGGCTTCAAAGACGCATCACACGCGACTTGGAAAGTGCCCTAAGCGCAATTTTCCGGATTGCGCAGCGTGGACCAAAGCTTTGTGCTCATACCGTGGGCAAGCTGCTGACTACTGTACGTACCCGCCGTACCTCCTCAAAGCCATCTCACCCTTTACCAAAGATCACAGTCCAGTGTCAGCGGTTCTTCATTGCAGCCTTTTACATGCTGGCGGAAGCTAAGTGCTGTCTGGAGCGGTTTGGCTGGCATCCTTTGGCTCAATGTACTCGGAATGATTAGCTGGCTGTTGCATGACCTGATCCCATCCACATCCAGCAGAACGCGATGTGCCGTAAGAGCTAGACATGAACAACGAATTGCGCCTTGATACTGCAGCCATCAAAATGCTAGGAGCAGCAAGTCATTGTGCCGTCACAGCTTCCACTTCATTACAGCTCCTTGAAGCTGAACATGACAAGAACTCTCGGCATAGCATGCCGTCCCACTGAGTTGTGATGGACGACGAAGGCCTCATTTTGCGACATTGCTCAACATTAGGGAGGGGTTTCTGGAGGTCATGCCCAAGACAAGATGTCTATAAGGTACATCCGAAACTCCCCGGTGCAGCTAGGAGCGCGGCCGCTTTATTCAGTGCTCGGCATAGCGCCGGATGCGGGTGCAGAGGAGGTGAAGCAGGCGAGCTATTGGTGCGTTGGATGGGCAACATCTTGCATTCCATAGTGTGCCACATCACTAAGGATCTAGTCCTTCTGACATATAGGATCACGCAGGATGTTGTCAAAAAAACATGTTGCGCTGCGAGCATGGTATTCCACAGTGTCAGTGCTGTTCAGTCATTTGTCCTGTGACTTACGATGGGTCGAACCCCAACGTGGGTTGTGATGTGACTTTTTCTTCAAAAAGCCTCAGACTGACGGATCTCGCTCAAGCTATCCTCGATCCACCCCAAAAAAGTCCATAGCTTCGAGAAAACCCCAAACCCTAAACCCCTGATGTCTGTCCGTGGTTAGGCCTACCGGAGGCTCGCTTTGCAGCACCACCCGGACAAATGCCAGGGATCCCGGGAATAAGCAGGATGTTAGGGCCTCCCAAATCCCCCCAAATTTCTCCCCCCTCACTTCCATGCTAAATTGAATGTCTGGGCCTCGAGTTATTTTGGTCATTTTTTATGCCTCCATGTTCAACCTTCAGAAGTCCCAAAAGACGTTCCCGGTGCTTTGTCTTCCTGCAGCAAGTGAGGTCTCGATACGACAAAGGCAGTCTGGCACTCATGTTGGTTTGCAGTGATTCCACATTAGAGGTGAGGAGCGTGACTGAGGCGGAAGCTGAGGCTCTCTTCACTCGCATTGCCTTTGCCTACGAGGTCAGCTGAACGTCATCTGTCTGACAGCTCAGAAATTACTGTTTCACTGTGCAGGTCCTCGGTGATGCGCAGCGCAGGAAGCGCACGGCTCTGAGATAAGGGAAGAGCCAGGGAGGTCATGACGCATTCCTGGTGCTGACCGCGGTCAGGCTATGACCTGACTGGGGAGCTCCCCCAGAATGATACTGCGGCAGGCAATCCGCAACAAACTCGAGCTGGCTGTGCATCGAAAATCGTAATAAAGACAATACTACTACTCACGACAATATACATAAGATTAAGAATAGTACTGATGGTCGTCGTCGTCGTCGTCGTCGTCGTCGTCGTCGTCGTAGTAGTAGTAGTAGTAGTAGCAGCAGCAGTACTCTTGCCGGGTCAAAGCATGGCAGGTCGTTCTGCTCAAGAGACCTTTCTGAAAGAGTACATGCGGTCTGACTGGCACTGAGCCAAAACTCGCAGTTTGCATAAAGACAATTGCGGCCAGCGAGGGCTTGCAAACAGAAAAGTAGTGCTGAGGCCCCAAAGACAGCGCGTGCTGCAACTCAGGCCATACCAACATGCTGCTGAAGCCCCCTTTATGTGATTCTTCAGTGTGTCTTGCTAAAGGCAGACTACTCCCTGCACAGCTTGGACAACTACGAGATTCTGGAGGTTGCGCATATTCATATCTGCGGGAAGATGCACATCACGACGCGAGGTTGATGGCTTGAACGTCCCGACCTACATGCTGGGATCCCAATAGCATGCCTCGTGGTTGCATGATCTATGCTCGGATCAGGCGTGAAATCGTTGCGCGCGGTCTCGGGTACTTAGCTGCAGTCGTTGAAGGCGTATGATCTCTTAGCTTTGCCTACCTCGTGATGCCCAGCGCTGCTACAGATCCCGGCAGGCATGGAGGCCAAAGAGGTGGTTCTACTCCGGCACTTCGTCATGGATCAGATGTACGCCTTGCTGGTGCGCTAGATTTGCTGCTGATTGACAACCTAGCGGTAAGTCAAGCAAAAGACTTGAAAATCAGGCTTACGCTCCTCCATTGGATGCCGGCGCATTTGGCGGGGATCGTGGATACGACAGCTCCTGAGCATCCAGGGGTGGTTTCAAAGCAAGGCCGGCTGTTTATACAGGATGCTTTACTCAGGTCATCACGTACTATGACGCTCCACTGCAGGCGCAGCCTCACTTACTACCAAATCACCGCTCTTAAAGGCATCAGGGTTGATAATGATATTCCCTCTCGTAATTCCAGTATCCATATAGGACCATGATGATTGCAGAATGTTTGCGACAGCTGCAGAAGACTGCCGTCAAGGCTGGAATTCAGCCGTCCTGGTCGGACCAAAATGGGCCTGCAGGCGCCACTTGCTTCTGACAAGCGCTAGAAAAAGATTTCCAACAAGTCTCCACGAGCGCAAGGGTCCTTCTTCCAGGGTTCTTTAAAAGTGATGCCGTGGGCTCAAACGACAATATTCATGCAGCACGCGCAGGTTTGCGATTGGGCGGAACGGTGTGCGTGACAGGTCGGTCGACTGTATCTGGCAGTTCGCTGGCACAGCCACAGCCACAGAAAGCTTATCGCTGCCTCGGGGGTGGTGCATGCAGATTTGTTGACTCAGAGTTTCCCCAATGGGCTTTAATTTTGGGGATTGGAGTCCAAATGCCAGGATGCTTGAACACAAGGCGCTGTTTTTGACCTGAGCCATCCAGAGCCACTTCTCAATGCAGATATCATTGACTTTAAAACTTTCAAGAGTCAGATCCTAGACCCTTAAACTCTTAAACCTTTAAACCCTTAAGCCCCAAACCCTCCAAACCTTAAACCCTCAAACCCTAAAGCCTTTACACCCTTAAACCCCAAACCCTCCAAACCTGAAACCCCTAAACTTCACTGCAGGCTCCGTGTCATTGACGACCAAGCTGTGGAGCGTCGGCGTCTTGCAGCGCTGGTTGGGGGCCCCAAGACTTGTATGAGCTATAGTCTGAACTCCTTAGAGGGGGTTATACTAAGGGATTCTATAGGGGACTGCTATAGGGTTCTCAAGGGATACTAGGGGTTAAGACTATAGCCCGTATGGACTTCTGTTTGGGGCTTTAGGGGTTCAGGGTTTAGGCTCTAAGGGTTTAGGGGTCTAGGGTTCGTGGTTTTTGCGCTTTATAGCTTGAGGATTGTAACTGAATGAAGGGTAGGGGTTTGGGGCTCTATAGCTTAATTTCTCTTCGTAGGTTTAGCGGTTGGGGTTTTGGGCCCTATGGCTGCTTGGGTGATGGTCTCTGAGTTTAGGGGTTGGGGCTGCAAGGCCCTGAACCCCAGACCTTAAGGGTTTGGGGGTTTGGATTACTTCTTTTAGGACCCTCAGGTTTGAGGAGTTTCGGGCTTTGGACTTAGGCGGCATTTCTTTCCTGAATTTAGGGTTTCAATGCCACGTGCTGGTTTAAAGGGGCGATGCGCGTCCAACTGGGGTGCTGATGATCCGGAAGATAATGTGTCCTTTTGACTGTGTGTAGGGTGTGAGACTTCCAAATGGAGCCCTTCGCAAATGGGTGTAGATTTTGTAAAGGTTTCGAGTTTAGGCGAGTCCCCTCAGATACACCCAAATATCGGACTCCTCATTAGAACTCCCAAAAAGTACTGAGCCCTAATCTCCGGAAACCCCCAAACTTATCAAACCCATCTACAACCCTATAAAACCCTTACATAACCCTGTATAACTCCTATGCAACCCCTACAAAGCAGAACTTGGCGCTACTGGGAGTCGGGGCTCCTGTCTCCAAGGAGTGGGGCAAGGACAAAGCTGTGGCTCCAGCAGCGCCTGTGAGTAGCTCGGTTCGGGGTTTTAGGGTTTGGGGTT